GCCTCTAAGGAGTCGAGGAAGTTGCTCGTGGTTTCGGTGCTCTGCAGTAAAAGGGGAAGGCCTTCCCACCATTCTGCGACAGACGGTGTGTTCGACTCAGGTGCACAAGTACAGGCCCCGCTTAGTCCGTCAGGCCTAGGGCGGCCATGGAGAGTAGTAACCAGAAGCTTTTCGATAATATCATCTTGCAGGAGTAAGTCGTCCGAGTCATGCAGCCGTCGCGCGTTACTCTTCCATGTAAGGGTTAAAGGTCGTCACTTATATCGATAGTACTTGGATAGTAGTCACCGTAACTTGTCAAGAGTCGGACTCAAAATTCACCTGACGGGAGCAAATGTTTGCAAACTGACCTCTAGCAGAGCAGGGCCTGTTTGCGATATCAAACCTTCAGGAAAACTAGGCACTGGTATTACTCCGTTTTTACTGCTACAACTACTTATACGCGTACGTGAAAAAAAGAAAGACAGATGATCGAGAGAGAGAGACAAAGACACAGACACAGACAGAGCAGCGAGATATTTTGGGGGTAGGGAACGAACGGAAAGCCGATACACGGGGGAGTCCATGAACGCGACGTGAAAGCTGGAATTCTGGTAAGGTACAATACGAGTGTCCACAGAGGGGGTCGTGGGGGTAGGTACAGAGGTCCATATCTTCACGCGGGCAGGATCCAAGCGACGGCGGCGGAGCGTATGAGGGGGGTTGGGTAGGAGGCATTAGTGAGGGGGAGGGGGGGCTGGAGATGGATAAAAGAGTGGACGGTGGTGGACCGGAAGGTAAAGTCTCCAGTTCGCACACACGCAATAACTTCGAGAAGTTCGGAACAAAAAAAAAAGAAACAATATGCACAAGTGAAGCGAGCCAGAGGTAATAAAGAGAGGGCAAAAAAGGAGCATAAGTAGGATATTTATAACGAGCTAGCGAGGCAAAAAGAAAAATGAACAACCAGCAGCCCTAAAAGGACCCAACCCTTGGAAGAGGCGCACCACAACCCCTAGGCTAGGGGCACAGGCACACACACTTCCATGGTATATCGCGTTTCGAAAACATTATGAGGGCCGGGGAAAGGAGCGTGAGGCGTCGGCGTCGGGAGGCACATATCACAAGGAGCGTGGGTGGGGGTATTCAATCGTTTTCGATCCGAGGCAGGCACAAGTCGGTATGTCTGGGAGGGGGGGTATTAAAAGCTCACGCAGCAGCCTGCTCCGCTCCATCAATGTGCATCTCCTGCGGCTCCGTCTTGACCACCGCGTCCTCCTCGACCTCCCCATCCGCATTGATGAACACCGCATCCGCACCGAGCATCTCTCCGTCCTCTCCGTCACCGATGGCGCTCACAGGTTCGGCCGAAGGTGGCCCGTTCCCGCTGTTTGAGCGCCGGGCACCCGAGCCGCCCTGGGGACCTGAGCGCGGGGGGTTGGCACAGCGGTCCTTCCCATGCGCAATGCGCAGGTTCGCGTACTCGGGCTTGTTCTTGATGCTCTCGATAGCCTTGATAGCATTAGATATGTTCGTGAAATTCACAAACGCGCAGTTCCTGAAGAAAGAATCGCGTTAGTGAAGCTCTGGAAAGTAGGGGTGGAAGGTGTTTTTTACGTACTTTTCCTTCAGGAAATTGATGAGCTCGATATCTCCGTACTCGCCAAAGTCACGCTTGAGTCTGTCCTCCGTGAAGGTCTCAAAGTCCTCGATGTTCCCGATGTATACATTGCGAGTGGCACCGGAATGCACGGCAAGCGCGAGTGCGGGCGGCAGCGGGCCCGAGTTCTTGCCCCAGCCCATCTTGAGGCGGCGGTTGTTCAGCGTTAGGCCCTGGTACGACGCGACCTGGAAGAAGGTGAAGGCCGCAGCAGGGTCTACAAACGTCACGAACTACAATTACCAAAACAAAAAAAAGTTAGACTCCCACCGAGGATGTAACAAATACATACGCACAGCAATATGTTTATCCGCCATGTACCTGATGCTCTGCAGCACACCTCCCCTGATCGCATTGCACAGATCCTCCGTCGTCGTCTCGGGGTGGATGTTCCCGAGGTACACGGTCCTGTTCATGCCCTGCACGCCACCCTGTGCAGCCCCGGCCATGACGTCGGGGGAGAAGGGCGCGTATGTCGCGAACGGAGAGAATCCAGCAACACCGGACTGAGGCGAGACCAGGGACTGTGCAGCCACAGCCTGCGCCTGCTGAGCAGCGGCTTGCTGCGACTTGGGGATATATGCGCAGCGGTCCTTGCCGTAGTTGACGCGTTTGTTGGCCCAGTTGGGTTCCGTCGGGAGGGTGTTGACGACCTGCATAAAATTTAATTATCTGCCCTTCAAGAAAAGAGTTTTTTAAGCGAACCTTGGTGGCAACAGCAATGCTGAGGAAATGGACAAATCCAATATTCTTGTCCCGCACGATCTTGACCTGGTCAATCAGGCCAAATCGACTAAGGTCGTCCCGGAGCTGCTCCTCCGTGAGCGTCTCTTCCAGTCCGCCGAGGTACACATTCCTGCTAGCGTTGCTCTGGCTAATGGCGAGTGCCACCTGTGCAGGCACCGGGGAAGGCTTTCCCCAGCCGATCCTGAGCTCCTGGCCATGGAGCGCCATCTTCTTGATGGTCGCATCGGCATGGAAGGCAGCGGCGGTGGCGCCATCGAGGAACGAGAGGAAGACACACGACTTCTCGGGAAGGACGCGGATGGACTCGAGCGGGCCAAAGTGGACGAGGTTGAGCAGCTCGTCGACGGATGCCGTCGCGGGTAGGTTGCCGACGTAGACGGTGCGGCCGGTCGCGTTAGACGAGGCGGAAAGGGCGGCGGAGAGCGCGGCAGGGGAATAGGCAGCAGCAGCTTGGGCGGCGGGGATGTTAAGGTTCAGCGACGGTATCCGTTGCTGTGCAAAGTTCTGCATTGGAAACTTGCCATGTGAGTAAAATAGGGGTGTGGTCGTCAGGAAATGGAAATACCTGTCCGAAGTTGCCCATCTGGTTGCCGTAGGGGAAGCCATTGAGCATGTTCATGCCGGGCATGCCCATGCCGAGGATGTTGTAGCCAGCGAATTGACCGTAGCCATTGCCGTTTGAGCTAGCCTGCTGTTGCTGTTGTTGCTGCTGCTGCTGCTGCTGTTGTTGTTGCTGCTGTTGCTGCTGCATGTTTTGCTGCTGCACGGCAAAGGCGGCGGCTGCAGTATTGGGGCTGAGTTGGCCGGGCATGCCATTTCCGTTGGCCTGGGTGTTGATGGACAAGGACGGAGACGAGTACAACGGGCTGCTGGGGAAGGCGCCTGAGGGGGAGTTTGCGAAGCCGGATTGGGCAATGCTGGCCTGGGGTCCATAGCCGTAATTGGCAAAAGCATCGCGTGGGGAGCTGTTTGCTCCGTTCACGCTGGTGTTTTGCCCAGCGAATGAGGAGGAGGGAGACCAGCGGGCCTTTTTAGGATCGGGGCCACCAACGGGATCCATGGAACGCTGTATTCGGCGTCAGAAACCGCCAGTTGAATGGGAAAAATGGCTGACCTTCATCATGTCGATATCGAAACCGTAGGGCGGGTACTGGGGCGCGAAGGCGGTCTGCGAGTCGTCCATGGCAGGGATACGTAGGGGGTAAGAGGAGGGAGAAGAAGGGGGAAAAGCGAGTTAGAGTGGGCAGAAAAGTAGGGAGCGTGGGTTGGAATGAGTCCCTTGTAAAAAGGACACAAACGAGTGTGGTTTGGAAGAAAAAAAGACACGCACGAAGAGAAAAAGGAGGAGGAAGCAGACTCTGTGCGGTATAGATATTCGACGCTCAAAAAAAACGAATATTCCTCCCAAATGAAAGAGAAATCGAAATCCAAATGAGAGACCACCGTAACAGCTCTTGCCAGCACAAGTGACAACTCTAGCGTCCTCTTCCCACGCGCACGGACCACCCCCCATCATGCATCATTCCAACTCAAACTGTCAACTCACGGCTACAACTATCGAGACAATCGCTTTGAATACATCCCATTGTATCTGCCTGAACGGAAGGTTTTTCATTCGCACCGCTTCTCTAGAGTTGACAATGGTCTCCTGCGTTGGCTCATCCTCCTGCTGATCTGGAACCCTGCAAACCCGTTTTCTACGCTTGGCAGCATGTCGCAATCGCTCACTTTGCATCTTCGAAGTTCGTCCTCGGTCCAATTCCGGGTGGTCCATCCGAGTCCGAGTAAACCTTCTATTCCGCTTAACGTTGTAGGATAAATGGGGTACTGAGATTGGCATCGCACGGCACGAGCCATTCGTATTGCAAAGTCCTACAATCCATAGGTGCGGTAATCTATCTCCTTCAGGTCCTTCCTTAGGAATGTCCTTGGGCTCAACAGTTCGAGGGTTGGAACGTTGGCGATCGCTTTCGAACCCCTTCTAAAAGGCTGAATACCTTATGCCCCGTCCCAGTATGGGCACATGGTGTAGTTGGTTATCACGCTCGCTTTGCATAACACGATTTGCGAGTGGTCCCCGGTTCAATTCCGGGTGTGTCCATAGTATAGCCTTTCTCTTTTTCTCAATTAGCTTATTTACTTCCACTTTCGAAGTTTGCTAGCAAGTATTCTCTTGCCAATTTCCTGAAGTGCACTGCCGCGAGATATATTCACTCTGTAGGAATCTCTATTGCCTGGTTCACATTTCTTGTTTTGAATCTAATCAGGTATTGGGAATCCTACCTTTTTGCCAGCATGAGCATATGGCGTAGTCGATGATCACGCTCACTTTGCATCCATGAGGTTGCGAGTGGTACTTGGTGTAACTCTGGGTGTGTGCATAGTCAAGCCAGAACAAGTCTTTTGCTCGGACCTTCTCTGGTATAAGCTCGGACTAGAAAGTGAGTGAATAATTGATGTTGTGTTTCTGATAAGGCATGATCTCAATGTTCATCAGTTTCACAGGCAATTGCAATCCCCTTTCCTCCTCAGGACTGTCTACTAGTACTGCCAGCGCCTTGTTCCATATGCCCTATTCGATACCTTGTTAAAATCATGAATACCTTGTAGACATGGGCACATGGTGTAGTTGGTTATCACGCTCGCTTTGCATGGTTGGAACTAGGTTGCCATGATTCCTGCGAGTGGTCCTCGGTTCAATTCCGGGTGTGTCCATCCTACCTCTTCGCTTTCATTTTTTCTATTTAGTTTACTTTTGTACTTCGACTCTTGAAGTTCGCTGGAGTTCCAGACTTCCAGTTCCAACTTCCGAGTCGGATTCGGACTCTTGGAGAGTCGATGGGTGACAGTATTGACACTGAGAAACTAGGTTCTCCATCTATGCATAACCCCTGGGTAAGCTGCACCCCTCGACAGAGACACAAATAACGATCAATGTATGTAGAGACGTGAAGTGTGTGACTAAACTGGCGTATATGTGCCTTGCTGGTCCATGTTCTGTGACATGTAACAACGGCTTGTGGCCAGTGAGAGGTTGTCCCAGCGGTTCGCCACTTTATGTCTTCCAAAAGTGCAGTGCGCCGCTATGGTAACCTGAGACTAGCCAATCACCAGCTAGCGAGAACGCTATAAATGTACCCTTGTGTCGACTTTCGCTGTGGATTGAGAGTGATTTGAATGAGAGTTTGCCGGCCCATTCCCTGCGACAAATGCTGGGATCAGAACCGTAAGGCATATCGGACATGCACAGGCAACCGCAGATTAGTGGTTTTGGATCTGGAGGGAGGAGATTGTGTGCGGCACTGGAAGCCCAGTTCGCATGTGAAGCACTTCGGTCGACACGAAAACATGGCTCCACCGAGTCATTACAGATAATTCATGAAGGCGAGGCACCGTGCACCATCGACCACACCTGTCCCAGCCATCAAGATGGTTCGCAGTCGCTTCCGAACAAGCTTCGTGATGTCGATAGGAGGGCTGGTGGGAGAGCCGCGTAGACTCAGGAGGCTGAATAACAGCAAACAAGGAAGTAGCTTGTTCGGGAGACATGTTGTCCATCAATGACGATTTCGACCGTGTATTTCGAAGTGAAGGACCTCCTTGGGAAGAGTTCGAACATTCGAATTTGCGGTCGAAAGGACCTAATAAATCAGTTTATCAGCGTCGTAATTCATTGCGACACATACCCTGCCCAGCTCGAGCTTTACAAGGCCGTGTGTAGGAAACGCGCCATCGAGGATTGCTTCTTGAGATAACTGTGAAGAAACTCTCTCTAACACGCGGTCTAACGAAGTTTCCGCGTGTCCAATGGTCCATCGAGAAAGCACGGTAAGGAAATCAGCATCGAGCGCTCGATTGTCCCAAGGAGCCTTGCTGCTGGACATAGAGGGAAAGATGTGGAAACCTGTGGAAATTGAACTTTGTGGCGTGCAATGCAACACCATCACCATACGCATCGGGAGCTAGGCGCTCGAATGTTCATGGCAGTTGGCAACCGGACACTGGGCTTGAACTGGTCAGCGTTGGATTACAGGCGCCATTACAAGTTGCATTCGGAGAGCGGTTCCGGCAGAACGGTGCTTCTGAGCTTGTGACAAGCTCATCTGGTTCCAGCCACATGACCCGATCACGAGAATTTGGGTAACGCGTTGTTGACTCGTCACACACCCACACACGCAGGCCTTGTCCCTAACCATGCACCTCTTCGAAGGTGTACGCTACTTCCTACCCCCATCACTACCAGAAATTCGCGTCGCTGAGCTATCCCAAGTTCTTGATAGCAATGGGGCCACCCCGGTGGACTCAATCGATGACTCGACCCTCACCCACTTCATCACAAATTCCAATACATTCGAACGGTGGCAAGAGGTCGTGGCGCGTGAGGAAGCGGGGTCCCTTTTGGTCGTAACCGTGCGTTAGCATTATTCAGTGGATAGTTCGCTAGTTCTTATGTGATTGTGCAGGATAAGTGGGTCGATAGATCGGTGCTACTTGGCAAATTACAGCCGTGAGCTATACCAGTCCTATAGAATCATCACGCCGAAACAAGCTTACACTCCAATGTAGGCCTTCATGCTACTCTGCAGATCCAGCTATGATCTTTTCTGGCGTCGTGGCCTGCGCAGCTGAGGTTCAGGACCATCTGCCTACTATCCAGGTTGTGGGGCTGACATCATTTCGTCTAGCTTCCTGCATCAGACCTTGAAGTCCTCTCAGCAGGAATTACAGCCCTTGGTGGCCAATGGCGAACTGGTCTAACCAAAGATGTTACACATCTCTTCGTAATTTCCCAAACCTCTCCCAAATACGCGACCGCCTTGCACTTCCAGGAACACACTCAAGTCAAGGTGCTCCTCCCACATTGGTTCGATGATGCTGTGCGCCTAGGCTTAGCACACCTGGATACTACACCCTACGAGTGGCCCGACCCGCCCTTTCTGAGGAGCCTGGCCGGTAACGACAACGAGAAGGACACAGCGAAGGAGAGGGAGGACGCCGTGAAGAGGGCTGCCCTTCGCAAACTTGACTCGGAGAAGAAGACGTTGTACCGAACCGCTGAACTCTTGACGCCTGGTGCGCCTCTGCCTAACGGGGTCGACCCAAGTTCACAATCAAGCGGGGCAGTGTCACCGAAGAAGGCGAAGAATGTCTGGCAGGGTCGCCGTGTGCTGCTGGGACGCAGCTTGGTGCTTGTCGACGGGAGGAGAGAGGCGGTGGAGGCGGAGATACAACGTGCAGGTGGGGAAATTGTACCTTCTGGCGAGGGTAGGGACGAGGAAGTGGCTGCTGTGGACTCGTGCGATGTCTTTGTGACGCGTTATAGGAGTGGAAAGGCCTACGTTCAGGTACGTCCAGCCTATTTACGGCTCCCGCGTATCTCTAATTTCCCCGGTAGGCTGTGAGGCAGGCTAAGACTATCGGAACTCTTCCATGGCTATTCCATGTTCAGGCTGTGGGTGTACTCTCCCCGCCCATGAGTCAACTCCTTTGGTACCCGATACCGAGGCGAACCATCGACGGTTTTTCTGCCCATGTACGAGGAATCCACTCTTATTGTATATAACTCAGAAATTAAATTAGCAATACAGGAAATCACGGTAACAAACTATACCGGCGAGTCGCGTGAATACATCAAGAGACTCATCGCCGCCATGGGTGCTACCTTTACACCCAGCATGTCTGGAAAGAACACTGTTCTCATCGCAGCCTAGTACGTCTACTGAGCATCTCCCTTATGTGCTCATCTCGAACCCGCGCGCGTAGTATATCCGGCACCAAGACGTCCAAAGCTGCCTCGTGGTCTATCCCGGTTGTGAATCACACGTGGCTGGAGGACTGTTTCGTCAAATGGCGCAACTTGACTGTCGCGCTGGAGAAATATATCGTGTTCCCTCCTGGTGTAGATTTCTCGCTGATGCTCGGAGAGCGTGGGGTCGGGCGAGTGGTGGAAGACATTGGAGAGGACGAGCTCGAGATCCTCGAACAGGAGGATGCCTTCGAGCTTGAGCAGGAAGCGCAAATGGAGGAGGATGTCGCTATGGAGGCTGGGAAGAAGAAGAAGGCTGCATTACTTGGGACGCAGAATAGCGCGCGGGATGCAAGAGAGGTCGAAGAGGCTGTTGGGATACACCTGGACGGTGATGGGGACGTGCAAATGGAGGTGGAGCTACCAAATCTGTATGTTGACGAGGATCCGCAGGATGGGATGGACATGGTTGTCGATGGAGAGGGGAACGAGGTGCCGGAGGAGGAAAATGAGGAGGAGTCACCACCCCCTTCGAGACCTACACCCACGCCGAAGTCAGCGAAGAGCATGGCGGAGCGTCTGCAGGAGAAGGGAGAGAGCACCGCCAAAACACGCGTGAAACCTCGACCCAAAGGCGCGCCCAAACCAACTCCAGTGGAGGAACGGAGCTCGACGCCCGAGGTGCGCGTCACGAGGCGGAAGAGCGGGCAGATGGAGGTGACACCTGTGAAGAAGCGGACACGTGTGGTTGAGAATGGACACGCGAGCAGCAGCAGCAGCAGCAGCGATGAGGTCGAAGTGGTTGAATCAGTGAAGAAGGGGAAGGCTAAGCTCGTGAGACGGCTTGGGGAGAATAGTAACTCGTGGGTTATGGATGAGGTGGTGACGTCTTCTTCGAGGGCGGCCAAGAGGGCAGCGAAGGACGCTAGTAGCGACGAGCAGGAAGAGGCCGAAGAAGAAGCAGTGAAGCCGAAGAAGAGGGGGCTGAAGAAGTCTCCTAGCAAGAAAGTGTTCAGCGATGATGAGGAAGACACAGCGAAGGTAGAGGAGGTGGTAGTCGTCAAGAAGAGCCAGAGGGCGGGGAAGAGGAAGGTGATTAGCGAAGACGACGAACAGGATTCAGGGATGGAGGTGATTACCGCCAACAAGGGCAAGAGGCCGTCGGTGGGGAAGCAGGCTAAGGGGAAATCTAAACAGAGGGTGGAAAGCGACGAGGAAAGCGGTCCTGAGATCGAATCAGAGGAGGATGCTGTCGCTGCGGTCACATCGAAGGCCAAAGGGAAGGCGAAGGTGTTGGAAGTGGAGAAGAAGACTGCGCGGCCCAAACCGAAACCGCTTGGTAAAGGCAAAAAGGTCATCGAACCGCCAGAATCCGAGGACGAGGAGGAGGACGATGCTCCGCCGTCGGTCAAGAAGCCGACAAAGACTACTGTGACGCCTCGAGCGTCCACCTCGAAAACGAAGAAGGTACCGACGCCGCCTGCTTCGGAGGAGGATGATGACGATGCGACACCTCCACCGGTGCCCAAGGCGAAACAATTCCTGGTCAACAAGGCTCAATCGTCCACTCAGAAGGGAGGCAAAAGCAAGCCTCCTGAATCAGAAACTGACGAGGACGAGGACGATGCACCACCACCACCACCCCCTCCTGCAAAGAAAAAGTCGATAGTTACTACAGCCAAGCCCAAAGGGCGACAATCGACCACTACCGTACAGACGCCTTTGGCACCCTCGCCCTCCAAGACCCCCAAACGCGTCGTCTCCGTCCTGTTACCTGAGTTGACATTGAGCACCAAGAGATCGCCTCCCAAAGCTGTCACCGCCACCGTACACACATCGGTGAAGCGGACAGAAAGCATTCGTGTCACAGCTGGCGAGCGCGCATCTACAAGTCGGTCCACTGCTGTGCCTTCGGGGTCAGCGCCCAAGTCGAAGGCCAAGGCCAAGCCTGCACCACCGCCGCCTCCTG